GAGAAGCTAAGCCAACTTCTGGGCTGGGTGATAAATTGAAATCCATAAATATAGCTGTACTAATTTGAAGTTCCATAATTGTTTGTGCCATGAGAATGTATACGTTTAAAAGGATTTTAAAAAGCAGTTACCAGAAATGCTTCCCTTGAGAGCAGTATTAGCGAAGGAGTTTCCAGCTCACAGGGGTGACATGAGTCAACCCTCCTATTGCAGACTCGGGGAGGGAGAGGGTGCCCTGCAGTAGTTGGGAAGAGGTGAAGCATTGGGGAGTTGTTAACCCAAAATGTAACTGAAAATTCAGAGCAATTTCTGAAATCAGAAAAATATATTAAACAAAACAAAAAAAAAAAACTTCCAGACTTTCAGGGTATAACTAATCTTTTTCTAATCTCTTTAAACTTTTTTTTTCCTACCTCTTGCCTTAACACCTAGGTGCTTTTTCAAAGGGTCCTCTAAAATCATATATCTAGAGCCCCTTGACGGAAGAAATTACTTGGTGTCGGCAAGGTCCCTGAGTAGCGCAAACGATTTGCATTCAGCTACCAGCTGAAAGGTTGGCGGTTCAAACCCGCCCAGCAGTGCCACAGAAGAAACGCCTGGCAATCTGCTTCTGTAAAGATTACAGCCAAGAGAACCCTATAGAGCAGTGTATACTCTGTAACACATGGGGTCACCATGAGTCAGAATTGGCTTGATGGCAGTGGATTTGGAGTTTTTAAATTTGGGATCAAGAAAAACGTGATAAAAATACCAAGGCATTGGTAAGTTCATTGAGTAGCAAAGAACCTCTGTCATGGTTTCTTCTGATTGACCCAGGGCTATGCCTTCAAAGCAGGTGACAGACCGCATGATCTGAACAGGAGCTATAATACTGTAGACCTCAAGAGGGCTCATTTTATCTGATAACAAAACCATATTTGTTTGCTTTTTTGTAAAATGGACTACTTCCGTGAAAACTGCTTACATGTTCTATAGCTCTGTACCCTAGGACCCTGCAGTTCCTTAGATTCAGCTCTTCACACTTCCCTGACGGCAGCCCCTACGTGGAAACCAGTTTGCATACACTGTGTTGCCTCAACCTCTGGCTCAAAGTCAGAGAGAATTTTAATTACTCATCAAGCTGCCAGATCCTACTAATCACCCTTGTTGGCACATTTCATCGGTGGCTGAATAGTGAATGAGCTGCACGTTTCTGTTTGGACCATGATGCCTATTGATAGTTATTTCCAAAACCTCCAGTAGTGCATTATGCCGAGTGAAATTAATTAGTCGCAAAAGGACAAATACTGTATGAGACCACTATTATAAGAACCCAAGAAAAGGTTTAAAAACAAAAGTAAACATTCTTTGATAGTTATATGGGTGGGGAGGAAGAGAAGGGTATTCGTTAACTAGATAGGAGATAAGAATTAGGTGAAGGAAAGGACAACACACACTACAGGGGAAGTTCAGCACAACTGGACTAAACCAAAAGCTAAGAAGTTTCCTGAATACAACCAAACGTGTTGAAGGACAGAGTAGCAGGGGCAGGGGTCTGGGGACCATGATTTCAGGGGACATCTAGGTCAATTGGCATAACAAAGTTTATTAAGAAGATGTTCTGCATCCCACTTGGGTGAGTGGTGTCTGGGGTTTTAAAAGGAAGCTGCCACCCGAGATACATCAATTGGTCCCAACCCACCCAGAGCGAAGGAGAATGAAGAACACCAAAGACACAAGGAAAATATGAGCCCAAGAGACAAAAAGGGCCACATAAACTCCATCAGCCTGAGACCAGAAGAACTAGATGGTGCCCGGCTACCACCAGTGACTGCCCTTGACAGGGAACACAACAGAGAGTCCTGACGGAGCAGGAGAAAAGTGGGGTGCAGAACGTAAGTTCTAGTAAAAATACCAGACAATAGCCCGACTGAGACAGGAGGGACCCCAGAAGGCATGGCCCTTGGACTCTCCATTAGCCCAGCACTGAAACCATTCCTGAAGCCAACTGTTCAGACAAAGACTAGACTGGACTACGGGACATAAAATGATACTCGTGAAGAGAGTGCTTCTTAGCTCAAGTAGATACATGAGACTAAATGGGCAGCTCCTGTCCGGAGGTGAGATGAGAAGGCAAAAAGGGACAGGAGCTGGTTGAACGGACACAGGAAATCCGGAGTGGAAAGGAGGAGTGTGCTGTCACATTACAGGGAGAGTAGCCAGGGTCACGTAGCAATGTGTGTGTAAATTTTTATACAGGAACTGACTTGAACTGTAAACTTTCACTTAAAGCACAATTAATAAAAAAAACAAAAAACCTCCAATAGTTTTCTCTTGGAAGGGTGGGGGGGGCCATCCTCCAGGGATGCAGTTCAAATTAGCAAGATTGAGCTTTACAGTTTGGGGCTTTTTGTTTACTTAGAATTGCTGGTAGACTTCTGGGCCAGATTGGTTGATTTATTGCTTTTACTGTGTAAACACACCCATTGCCTTTCCTTTCTTAGGCCTTTTGAATATATGCAGAGCAGCTTAGGGAGCCTCTTGGGACAAGGAAATTGGCCAGCTTAGTTTGGCTGTCCCCACGCCTGGGTATTATACTTACAAAGCAGGTGGTTATGCGTTTGTGTGGTCTTTAGACTGAGTGAAATCAGCAGGCTTTCACCCAACAACCTGTGGGCTGCCCCGCGCCTTCCCGTGTTAGGTACACAGGTTGGCAAGAACTTCCCTTTCAGTGTTCCATTTTCTGAATTCTGTCTCTGAGTCAAATGGGGAGTCTGCAACACCGAAATTGCTCTCTTCTTTGAAACGCACCCTGCCTTCTGACAATCCTCTCAGCCTGCTCAGCCTGCACGTACACAGTGTACCAGGTGGAGTCCTGCCAGGGCGGTGGCTCGGAACCTTCGTAGGCTGTAGCGCTTGCGTTTGAGTGTGCTCGCCATTGTTCGCTCCCTTGTAACGGGGTCGATTGTTTTTTCTCTGTTGCCGGGTGCCGTCAGTGCCTGAATGTTACCGTTTCCCCACATCCCACGCCCCCTTCAAGCTAGCCTTCTAGCTGATTTTTGTTCTTGACTCCACCACTTTGAGTGATGAAGTGAATGGTTTTTCTGTTCCGAGTCTCTGCAAATTCAAGGCCCAGCATGCTATCACTTCCCACTGCCTCCGTGAACTTGCGCTCAGCATGAGAACTGAAGGTAAGGCCTCAAGTTGGCCAGATCGTGGTGGACAAATAAGACAAAATAAACCAGCAACTCACAAATGCATGAAATGTTTTGATCTCTAGACAGACTGCCAGAATTTCTCTTTTCTAATTCCTGTTTATAGTGATAAAATTTATCTTTCTGTGATTTTTTTTTTTAAAGAGGATAGTGCAGTACTGGGAAATTGCAGTTCTAATTGTCTTCACTATTTCTATTTTGACAGGTTCCAATTCTTTTGAAACTATTGTATTCAGCTGTGTACTAGTGTCAATAAAATTGACATTTGTGAAGCAATTTCTGGCCTTTTTCTCCGGCTTTTACTGGGTCTGGTGGTGTGTGGGGTGATGGGTCTGTGACTAACATTAGGTCTTCATTTCACTGAAACATTCTCAGAGACTTTTGAAGTGGGAGCTTCTGAAGTCTGTCTTTTCCTCCCATTTTCCAATCCTGTTATTCAAGGGTCATTGCACTGACCTGTGGCCAGTGGGCAGGACATCTTGCTGCTGTTTTTTGGGGCGTGGTGGCCTTTCACACCTGCCTTGGTGACACAGCTAGCTGAGGTTACCAATCGAGCTGGGACAGGAGGTAGGGGCGGGGGGGCAGGGTTTCTCCATGGTTTGTTCGTACTGGGATCAAATCCACGGCTTTCACTTTATCAGCTCCGCCCTAGGCTGTGTTACCTTGTCATTTCAAAATGGATATTAATGGATCCAGAGGGAGAGCGAAAATGTCAGGGAAGCGGAACAGCCAGAGAACTGCACCCACCCTCCTTGTGGAGAGGATACCCTTCACGGCGTGTCGGGGAGCGCTGGGGCCGAATTGTGTATTGAACAACGCAGAAAGCATCATTTTCTCTAAGATGGTGGTCACGACTGCAAGTGACTTTCACGTTGTTTACCTAATAGGAGTTCTAGCAAATCGGCACTGGAATGAAAAAACCTCTGTATTAGGGAAAAACAAAGCGAGGTTAGAAGTGGTTTTTGGAACATCCCACTTAGCTTCTATGCGTTCAGGTAGAGAATCACAAAGTTACGTTGGCGGAAGAGTTTCACACGCACCTTCTCTACCTCGGCTGACTCGTACCGGGTAATATGTACATTTCTGTGTTACGTAGTCTGTTGTCCTTTTCGGAGGAATAATTCATTACCTGTCACTTTCTGACCAGGAAAGGGAATTGGGATCATATAATGACCTCGGGCTTTGCCTTTTTAAAATGGTCATCTTTGCATGTAAATATGATGCTCGCTTTCTGTCCCAAACAGAGACGTGGAGTGACGTCACCAGGTATAACAAGCTTGCTTCTGTTCGTTGTAGAAGGGGGAGCTCGTTCCGTGATTTTCCTGTTAGCTGTCACCCCGTGTTCTACGACGTAGCGCGTCCTAAGTGCCCCAGTGGTTTAGATTCCTTTTAGTCTAGTTTCATTTTCTAGTCATTTTCCCCGTGTCTCCTTGTGATGTAGACACTGTGTCTTTCTTGAGTAACGCTTAGATGCAAAGGCAGTCATTAGGAGATGAAAATACTATTTCTGGATACATGATACTTTTAAACTATTGTAATTGGGCTCCAGGCAGAGTTCTGTACCTTATCATTAATTACATAACAGAGACTCGACTGAATTATTCTTCCTGCGGTACCTGAAATAGTATGGCGGCTGCAACTTTAGAAGGAAAAAAAACCCAGAAGATACTTCAGAACGTTAGTTTGCCGTGTGATAGCCGGGGTTCTAAAGATTTGAGAAGGGGAGAGTTGTAAAGGAAACCAGGCCTCAGAAGGAATTACTTTTTCTTTTTTTTTTTTTCTTTAAAACTTCTCATCCCCAAACAGGCTCCCTGACCGGTAGCCCTCACCTTTCAGAACTCTCGGTCAACTCGCCCGGCGGGGCCGCACCTGCCAACGTCACCCTGTCGCCCAACCTGAGCCCCGACACCAAGCAGGCGTCTCCCTTGGTCAGCCCGCTGCTGAATGACCAGGCGTGCCCCAGGACGGACGACGAGGAAGAGGTCCGTAGAAAGGTACTGATGGGCTCTGGCAAGATGGCAGGCAATGAGGGCTGTAGCTTCACTTACTGTTTAAAAACACAGCAAGACCTGATGGCCGGCCTGCCCCAGGGTGCTGGCTGCCCACCTTGCAGATAGCCTCCAGGGGATGAAGTCGCATTGGTGTCACCAGCTGATGGATGACGGGCTGCTTGTCACCATGCCCCTTCAGATCCTGCCGCTATCTGTATTTCTGTGAACAACACAATTTCCATTTCCCAAATGCCAACACTGCCAGCCCACGAGAGCCAGGACAAAGGGCACCATCGTTCCTCTTCCATTTATTTCCTGGAAGACCGCTTCACTCTGTCGTTTTACTAATTAATTAGATTTTCTGGTGCCCAAGTTTGAATGCTAGTCCTCAGTGGTGGCTGAGATGTGCTTGTTCATTGCCTTTGGTGATGCTAATATTTGGATGAAGGGTAACGTGCCTAGACTGTATTCTCACCGTAGAAATCCATTCTCTTAAACTATTTCGTCTCTCCTGCACACAGAAAGGAGTTTAGCCTTGCTGTCAGTTAAAAAATCATGAATTAGTAGTATGTCTTCAGTCAGGACTTGGTTACAATGAGAACATCCTTAGAGACTTGTACTCCAAAATGATTATTATGTCTTGTTTCTCCTTATGGATTTTGCAGAGATTGCCAACTGACAAAGCGTACTTCATTGCTAAGGAAGTATCGTCCACTGAAAGAACATACCTGAAGGACCTTGAAGTCATCACTTCGGTATGTGGAGTGTTTCCCCTAGAGCATTCGATTACATGATTTATCTCAATTTACTCTGCTTTATGAGAGAGAGGCTGTTATTAATTAAGTATCGGGCTCTCTGACTCCAATTAAAAGGATTTGGTCCTGGGTTATATAGTAGTTAGACATTTGTGGTATATTTCATTTAAAATATACTCTAAAATTTTACATAATTACGATTTTCAAGTGCAAAGGAAGTAGGCTTTTAAAGTGGAGAAAATTAAAATGAAACATTTACTGTCTGCCTGCACTGAACTAGAACCGTTATGTGTTTTGCCCGTTGTCGAATGTAGCCGCTCTTTTCACTCAGGGTTTGCCTCTGAGGCGAAGGGAAGCCTTATTTTGTATTTCATAGTAAAATGAGCCATGTCAGCAAAATCTGCGGAGGCTGCCTTTTATTATTTTAATCAGTCCTCTTCAGTCTTGGAAACTCATTCAGGGCCTTGCAAATGTCTTTCTAACCCTTGGATTCTGGGGAAGAACTAGTCAGCTGGGAGGTAAATTGCAATTCTTTGAGTTCCTGTGACTTAGGAGATGTGTATTGTGCTGCATGTTCGGAGGTGCTCTGTAAACGTGTGGAATCAAATCCCAACTCACCTCAATGGGCAGAGTCACCTTGGGTGACAGAGGCTGCTTTATCACCCTGGTTCAGCCATGGTCATGCTCAGCGTTTTAACAAAGGAGCAGAGATGAATGTTCCTAAAGGAATGGGACAGAGAGTATTTCGTGATCATGAATAAGTGAAGATCCAACGAGTTGGCCAGAATGGAGATTTTGATTTGAGTAGTTGCCCATTTAAGGGATTTGTCTGGACCCAATACATAGATCTTGATCAAAAGGAGTAATAATGTGGAACAGAACTTAAAATTCTTATTAGAAACCAGACTTACTGAAAACATTGAGACTAAAGGACCCCCCCCCCCCACCAAGTCTGTTGCCTGGAAACAACTTTTAAGGCTTGAACGAAAACTATACCATGAAGTCATCTTTAAACAACAGTTCATCTCATTTAATAAAGAAAGTTCACCTTGAGCAATGCACTCTTTTAAAGAATTATCTATATGAGATCACACAAACAGCAGTAACTTCAAAGCGCAGATGGGAACTTTAAGGGGCAGAGAGTCTAAGTTCATGGCAGTGGAGCATAGGGCCGAGATGGAAGAACGGTGACCCAGTGTGAAGAATGTAACCATTGTTGATGAACTGTCCATGTAAAAATCGTTGAATGGGTGTTTGCTTTGTTGTGTATATTTTCACCAAAAATAAAAAAAAAATATTTGTCCTGGCTTAACCAGTTGATTGATAGCAAATTTCAGAAAACAGTTAAGAAAGAGATAGGGTGCTTCTCACCCCCATCTAATGAAAGGAAAGGCCTGGAAAAACCACGTGCTCCTGAAATGCTTGTGTGTGCCCGGGTGGAGAAGGGAAATGGCACTGCTTTCCCAGGGATTCAAGACCCAGCAGGAAAGTCATTTGTCCTCCAAGTGCGTGTGGCTGCAGCATTATTCCTTAGGAGTTGCAGACATTCATCGTTCACCTTCGCGCGTCTAAGCGTGTCCACCTTTCATTTTCAGTGGTTTCAGAGCACAGTGAACAAAGAGGACTCTATGCCTGAAACATTGAAAAGTCTCATATTCCCGAATTTTGAACCTTTGCACAGATTTCACACTAGTTTTCTCAAGGAAATCGAGCAACGACTCGCCCTGTGGTAAGTTTGACAGTTAATGTTTCTCTCTCTCTCCCTTCCTCTCTCTTGGTAGCTGTCTGTCTATCTCATGTTATTTTTATGTTGTTCCTGATGAGCAGCAGTTAGGACAAAGATAAAAGGCAAGAAATTGGTTTAAGACAAGCTAACCTTAAAGTGATTTTCAGTTAAATTATACATATGTTTAGAGCTCATCTTTGATTCTTTTCTATAATTTTTTTTTAATTTTGATTTACAGTTCTCCAAAATGAATTCTTTTTATCAGAATTAAATAATTATGATACTTAAATAAGTATCACAGAAATAAAGATAGCAATTACTGCTGGAGGGAGGATGGAGGTTATAAGACTAGGGGCATATGAGGGGCTTTTAGGGGTGTTGGTAATGTTTTATTTCTTGACCTAGGTGGTGATTTCACTGATGTTCACTTTATATTCATTTATTAAGTACATATATATTTCATGAGTTTTCTGTACACCCGCTCCTCACTTATTGACTGTCTCGTTATCCAACATTTCACATTTACAACAACAGTAAAAAATCTACTGTCTGACTATTTTGCACATTAACAACATCCTTCCAGCAGTCACAAACACCGAGGTGTGAAACGAGAGTAATACTGACTGCGATGGTTAAGGTTATGTGTCAGCTTGGGTGGGCCATGATTTTCAATGGTTGGGCAATTTACGTAATGATGTAATTTGGCAGTTATGTAATGATATAGTCGTTATGTAATGATGTAGTCATTCTCCATTTTGTGATCTGATGTGGCCATCCTCCATTTTCACATGACACTGATTTTTGTGTAACAGCCTGGTCTTTGGAACCTAACTATGTCGATAAGTGAGGAGTGGGTGTATTATAATTCACAGTTTTTAAAGTGCTTTGAAACATACAAAGCCCTATATAACATATACACATTGTCACATCCACACATATTTTGACTTTGAATCTCAATTATAGGAATTTATCTTAAGGATATATTTTAATATGTGAAATGGCATATGAACAAACTTATCCATTGTAGAATTAAAAAGAGTGGAATGGATCTAAATGCCCATCAACAGCGATAGACTAAAAATAACTAAGTATATCCATTAAATATGAAATAAAATATTAATCAGGGAGAAAAAGATGAAGGTACAAAAATCATGGAAACTTTTGCATGCTGCAGAATGCCTGATTTGATGTACCCTTACTTAAAAATAGAACCTTGTAAAGAAAGTTCTTAAGAGGCTTTTGAAGACAATTATATGCAGACACACAGGAAGTTGTTTGTCTTGTAAACATTTGTTTAAAAAAATGCCAGCCTCCATGGCTCCAGAAAGTCTGGAGTGTATGAGAATTTTAAATTCTATTCTACACTTTCCCCCTTTTGATCAGAATTCTTCTATAGAATCTTTGATGAAAATGTTCAGTAATGGTAGCCTGGCACCATCCAGTTCTTCTGGTCTCATGGCAAAGGATCCAGCTGTTCATGGGGGCAATTAGCCACACATTCCATATCCTCCTCCTATTCCTGACTCTCCTTCTTGTTGCTTCAGTCAAATAGAGACAAGTTGTCTTACCAAGGATGGCTGCTTGCAAGCTTTTAATACCCCAGGCACTATGCAGTGAACTAGGAGGTAGAACAGAAGCATTTAACACATTATTAGGCCAGTTAACTGGGAAGTCCCATGAAGCCATGACCCTAAACCTTCACACCAAGGTTGTATATAAGCTGCTTCAGCAGCTACTTTTTTTTTTTTTTTTTTTTCTGGAACCATGGAGGCTGAATGAACCCCTGAAACTATTGCCCTGAGATAATCTTTAAACCTTAAACCAAAAATGCCTCCTAAAGTCTTCTTAAAGCCCCAAAATAGTCTAGCTTAACTAGTAAAAAAAAAATCTGCCTTGAGCATTATGCTCTTTTAAGAACTATATGGGATCAAAGTGACAACAGCAACTCGAAAAATTAGATGGGAACCTTAGGGGGCAGTGAGTTTATATCAATGGGGGAGGAACAACTCAGAAAGGGAGGGTGAGAATGGTTGCACAACTCAAAGAATATAATCAGTGTCACTGAACTGTACATGTAGAAATGATTGGATTGGTGTATGTTTGGCTGTGTATATTCTCAAAATCAACAACAAAATGCCAGGAAGAAATAGCAAAAGGCTCCTATTGTGTTTTCGGCACAATGGAGCCCATCGTGTGCTGTATACATCATATGCTCCACTCCAGGGGAGAGTTTTGTTTACAGTGGAGTCAGGGACATTTAATGCCTGTAGCGCCTGAAGGGCCCCTGTGTGAGGTGGCCTTGCCTATCAGGTGATCCCAGACTGAGGGATTCAAGGTTAGTTGAATACAGAAGCAGAGCTGCTCCCCTGAATTGGAAGCCAGCACTGCCAGGGCCGGTGTGAGTGCTCTGATCCCTTCAACGGGGTCAGGCTGTGCATGTTTTTTACACCTAGAGGATTTAAAAACAAAAAAACAAAAAAACCTGTTGCCGTCAAGTCGATTCCGACTCATAGCAACCCTATAGGATAGCTCAGTGAAATTCTCTTTCCCGTGAGAGAAGGAAGTGGTAGGCTTTACTATGAGATACCAGGGAGGAGAGTACAGCCAGGATTGAGAAACAACAAGTACAAAGACAGCCTTGCTGAAAATGGGAAAAAATTGGAAATTTCAATTGGAAATTGAAAAATTAAAAAGCAAGAGCCTTTACATTGGTGGTGTCAGTGTAAGAGAAATACCATTTTTCAAAATTAAAAAAATAAACATATATTATATAAAATCTAACTTAGTGTTTGTTTTAGCTTCCCAAACTTTATCTGAAAGCTTTCGGTTGTGTTCTGCCATATTGCTTCATCACTCATACAGAGTTGAATGATGCTCTCACAATGGAATCAAAGACCTTCTTTCAACTCCTAAGAAACCATTGAATGGTGTTTTCTGGCAGGTCACGCATGGATTAATGCAGACCTAATTAAATCTCCCCATCAATTCAGAGCCTCCTGAGCTGGTGTCACTGTAGCAGTCCCATCACATGGCAGTTGGTTTCAATAATAGTTGGGGAGGTCACACGTAGGAACTGTCATCAGTTTGCAGATCAAGACGTGAGGTGTCTAACGTCTTGCGTGTCTTGGCAGCCCATCATGCTGGTTCCAGCTGGCTCCTGCATTGGAGGGCACCACCAGGGGAAACTTTGGAGAATTGTCTAGAGCATTTCATTTTAGGAATAGATGCCATACCAGTGGATTTACCTGTGACCATCAGTCATCAGCAGCTGGGTCCTTCCTTATCTGTGAGAGAATATCCAGTTCCTTAAAAAGCAGCTGATGTCGTTGGAGTCCCAGAGGGTTTTCACTAGCGTATCCTCCAAAGAATGACCCATGAATTTACCTGGGTTTTAGATGAACATACCAGAAGCATGTTTAAGAGCCTCAAAGCTAGAGAAATAGTCGGTATGCAGCTCAATTGCCATGATCTTCAATAACCTTGGAAAAATGGAGCCAAACTAAATAGATAATCTATCAGGAATAAATGTGAATATCTGCAATTCAGTTCAACTAATCAACTCCTCCAAGAAGATCTGTCTTGGCAGGGACTCAAGGGAAAAAGGCTGAGTGTGGATGAGTATAGTATGAGCCAACAAAATAACATGGCCACTAGGAAACCGATGTCCCTTTTTACCTGTGGCACTCAACATTGGCTCCTCTGGTGCTGGTAACCAGGCAGCATCCAGCCCAGTTACAGCAGCATCTCTTAGGGATAGAACCCAAGCATCAGTATTTTCTGAAGCTTCCTGAGTGATTGCAATGTGCAGCCAATGTCAGGAACCTGTGCCCTAGACTGCCTGATTAGAAAGAGTCCAGAGCATGGAAAACAGTTGTCCCTTTAAACTGCAAGGGCCAGAGCACATCCAGAGTACCGTACCAGCTCTGAGTTTCACAGTTGACAGGGTAAAATGAGTGAATGCATCCCATTTAAAGGAAGTGATTGGCCTAGAAGACAGAAGACTTGAGAAAATTTGATGCCTCTGCTTGGATGTCCGTAAGCTGGTTATGTGGAAAGGGAGGCAGACATCTTTTGAGTTGTACCAGAGGACAAAATTCAGACAAAGGACTGAAGTTCCAAGGATGTCTATTTTCTCTGAATATATAAAAGGATTTCCTAGCACTGAACGTGGCTTAGCAATGAGAGGCTGACTTAATGGTCAGGAGCTCCTCCACCTCGCAGTTACTTGAGGAGAAGCTGACTGTCCATTGGCAGAAGGTATTTCTCTATTAGATGAAACCCCAAACCTGGCAGTACACCAGGGTCACCTGGGGAAGCCTAGAAAATACACAGATGACCTAGGCCCCATACTAGCCCTCCTGAATCAGAATTTGAAGGAATGAGACCCAGAAATTTTTATTTTGTAAGTTCTTCTTGGGGTAATGATGATGCATACCTCTCTGGAACACCTGATCTAGAGTGCCTTGGACAAACCTAAGATGTCATGATTCTCTGATTTGCATTTCACGCACTGGTTACAACTCCTGTTTCTTCATTCTGCAAGCAATAAATAATCACTTCTTTTGAGTCTGGTCCTGCCCACAGGTGACTTGCAATCTCAGAGAAGGAGCTGGGCATGTAGAGCAAGGGGACTAGGTCCTATCTAGATGTGTGACTGGATCTGGTACAGGCACAGGGTGAGGCTGGCCTCTTCTGCCTTGGAGGACATGGGCCATAAATCTCTCTGCAGAACCAGCAACCCTTGAACTGAAGGTATTCAGTGAGGAGAGTGGATCAGAGTGGAGCCATGAAGGAAGGAGTTCACACTGAGTTACTGACAGCAACAGTATATATGTATTTTTATACTTATTATGAGATGAGGAGCCCTGGTGGCACAGTGGTTAAAGCGTTTGGCTGCTAACCAGACGGTTGGCGGTTCAAACCCACCAGTGGCTTCACAGGAGAAAGATGTGGCAGTCTGCTTCCATAAAGATTATAGCCTTGGAAATCCTATAGGGCAGTCC